ATGGTAATGAAACCCCAAAACCTTGCATGAATGACTTCTACATTACGATCTTATGACAGAAGTCTGATCCCTTATCCTTACCTGATTAGGTGTGGTAAACCGTAAGTACGGTGTACCAAGACTGTACCACTCAGGTCTACCGATCTTTACCTGGCGTGGAAACATCACATAACCGGTTTAATAACCGTGCGAAACCCCGTTGCACAAGTAGCATGCACCATGGTTTATATATACCTGCACCACCCACCAGCCGAACTGGATGACAAAGCAAAGCAGAATGCTACACTTTTGTGCTAATCGTGCGGTGCTTTTTACACCTGCAACACCTGAGACATTTCCAAGGTAGAGACTCCGAGTTCACCTAAAGGTTGGCTACAACCTCCGTCGGTAGTACCGATTCTTAATAGGCTTGAGACATGACAAGATTGTCGCATCTCTAATATTCTATCAGATCCATGCCGTTTCTATTCCGAAAACCTTAACGAACGAAAGGGAGTGGCAAGTGTAGCCTTTGGCGCCAGGTCTTTGGATATTTTCTATAATTCGCAAGATCCAGAAGAATAAATATGCTGGCATTATATCCTTACGGTGCGTATTTGAAAGGTATGTAGCCTCTTTGTGAATCTTCTGTCACACAATTCGCTTTTAGTCTTCTTTCAACCATTTCCGTATACAAACACGTATTTTTATTATCTGCTCACCACGCATTGTACACGTCTGCCGTAACTAAGCATTATTATTTAAAATCATCGCCTATATCACGCATTATGAAGATTTCTACTACTGCAGCACAATGTTAGTTCCTTCACAAATTTTTATACTTTTTTTCGATTTGCGCTATCTGTAACGGGGTGCCTCCGCAACATGATACTTTACATGAGGTTATTATCAAGTATGAATGTTGTGTTAGGAAAACACAATATTCTCACATTTGTTTCCTGATAGATAATATTGCTTCGCAGATGCAATACATTGCTCATTGGTTGATATACGACCAAGCTATTAATTAACAAAGTCTCAACATGACAAAAGCACGCAATGAGTGGTGGGAAAATAGTAATAATGCATGTTAGTATTCAGACACAGCTAAATGAAGTCACATAGGGATTTGTAAAAAGGATTGACTATACTGAATACAGATTTACTTTTTACCTTTACTATGCAACTTTACTTCGTATAGCAATCTCCTTTGGCACGTACGTGTGCGTGATGTAGTCAAATGCACACACCAATGCACTATCAGTAGTGCAAGTTTCATTCAGTATTCCTAAATAAGGTGTGTCCCGTTACACCTGGTAGCACTTCGTGGTCCGCTCAACGATCGTAGCACGTTGGAAGATGAGGGGGATTGTTTTCATTCAATGCACGGAAGGTGCTTTATTGAGTCAAATTAAATAAGATGCCATCGGACGCTTAAGGTCGACGATAGGGCAAGAAGCCGTAGGCACAATGCTGTCCACGATGGGGATAGACGAACATCACGCCACCATCGTCAAGTTCAAATGGGATGAGCTTGACGCGTGCGGTAAAATTAATCTTGCTTCACCAAAAAGGCCCTTAACAATTTAAACTGTTGAGACAGCAGCAGGCCACTGCTACCAGGTCGATGTACACACATCGACCTGAGACTCTATATATTGTACTTTAGAATATATGGGAGCCGATAACGACTCTCTGTTAAAATGGATCGTAAAACTATAAGATTTCATCAAGACTAGTCATTTTGTCGGTGAGCAAGAGCGATCTACAGTTGCTAGATCGAACTTGTCAGGGCATGCAAAGACGTGGGCCTGGGCCTCAAGTTACACGACTAATATGTCTTTAGGTCTTTAGAAGTCTTCAATTCCCTGCTTAAGCAAAAATTGTGCCGCCGCGAGCTGAGTTCAGGGCTCGCTCTGGACTCCCAAAAATTAAGCAAAGAAAACGTGACATACACTCGTACATTCACTGCATACGTCACCTTACCAGCTGCATCACAGTCGACATATAAACCAACAAACGTGGATCACGTTGTTCATGCAGGTTCCGACGTATGGTCCCGTTAAATCCTACCTTTTCTGGTTGGAATTTAACAATATGAAAGAGTCCGTAAGAACTACGGAACAGGAGGGCTACAGCGTGAATCCGTCTCACGCGAATTGATATTCCTATCGAAAGTCGAGACGACAGGAAAATGGAAGATAGAACAGATGTGACTCTGTCAAACGGGGGGCAAGAGCTCTTGTGTTAACAGATACAAGAAATTGCAAACATGCAATAGATATCAGAAGACTAAACGTTATGCATACTAATGCAGCGTCCCAAACTCGGCACCACGTACCGCGGGAAACAATCACCGGCAAGCGGCTAGGTGGGGCCCAAGGCGTGGGTCCGACGTTGATTCGTCTTTGCAACAACGTTACGGACAGCCAAAAAACGGTCAGGGTCAGTAAGTGTAGAAAAGCCTTACGAATCCAGCAACGTCAAGTGAGTTTTCAGGCCTCTCGACGAAAGTTGCTCCGAAACCCAATCATTGTGTTTTCTGCTCCTGGTGATGAGATTTCTCCCATTAAGTTTAGACTCGAAGTGACAAGAAACATGTCGCTTCGAGCCCTGGTCAATTGTGGGGCGTCGGAAAACTCTGTACGACGCCATTTAATAGACAACAGAGAGCTCAAATATGTTGATCGCGAGATCCCTCCAACGAGGATGACAGTGCGCATCGCGACAGGTGCATCCGTAACAGTGGTGAAAAGTGTAGTGAATAATACCTATACACTGAACGTAATAATGTCTACATCATATTATACTTGGATGACAAATTAGATGCGATCCTTAGACTGCTGTTGCTCAAATGGTACGAGCCACAAGCCTGTTGTCATCGGCGAAGTCGATATGTCTGTCACTTGATCACCAGAAGACCATATGATGAACGCCATGGAGCCCCCACAAACAAGTAATGTACTAAGAGCGAGTGCGACGGCCTCCCGTGTGGTTCGGTCATTAGTACGCCCAACATTACAATGGCGTGACTGATAACCACACCATACAGACATTTGAAGGCGACTGTATTGAGACGCAGATCTTGCCGAAGGCCCACCATCCGAATAATTAGAGTGTACTGGGGCACGAGTGCCCTTTTATCAGCAACACCCGAGTGACAACGAACCAATTGCCGATGATCAACAACACGATGATCTTAGTGCGATTATATAGTTGCAAGTAAAAGACATGGCCACATTAGCGCAACCACCGCCGGATGATAGGGAGAAAGCGGATCTACTTGTGCAATGTGATGATAGAGCCCGAAAGGATACTGAGGAAACAAGTCCTCACCCGACTGTGGGAATTGGTTTCTTGAAAAAAACAAAGACAGCAAAAGTCCTGTTTAATGACGGTTCGAGTAGAAGCACTTACGAACTTGACTTGACCGCTCCTACTAAGAGAACTTCAGGTATCACTCCACTTATCACGCACGAACGGAAGGGGTTCTTGCGTGATATGAGTACAAGGAAAGTCAAGCAGATTTGCGAACTCGTCACGAAAGACGAGTATGTTTCCGATCTTCGGTCGGTACTGGTATGTGATGAGACCGAGAGGGTTCTTAGCATCTGATGAGTGGACGAGGGGGTCATTAGAGAGAAGACTCGAATCGGGCGATATACATCCCAATTGCGGGCATCTCTCAGAACAAATTTTCTCCATGATAATTTGACGGAATTTAGAGATGCGTTTCTAGCAAAAGCGCCGTGCGAGTTACTCAAAGATAATGATACTCATCATGAGATCGGTGTGGTGGAGTGGCGATCGCTCATTTTATGAGTCGATCCCAACTCTCCACTGGCGCCCGGACGACCGACTAACGGAGGGGGTACTCCGATTCCGTATGTGTTGCCTTCCTAACCTTGTGTAACCGTCGGTAGGGCGGATTGCACTCTTCCAGGTGGACTCGTGTCGAAGGATAGCTTGACCGTGTTGGGGATGGGTTTGTGATCGTGCGGAAATCTTCAGGCTATCACGGGGTACTTGGAGGTACTGATATAAGCTACCCTGATCTCAACGAGATCGCCTTGTCCACTATGTGGTTGCTTGATCCGCGAGCCTTCTGACCACTTGAGCCGTCTCGCGATCTTGCGTCTTGCCTTGATGAGTCTTGCTGCGTCCGATTACAGTTGATGTTGCTTGAGAGTTCTTGAACACACCTGGCCTAAACGATCCAGGTGTGACACTTGCGTAGACGTGTAGCGCGACTCTTTATTCAAAGGGGGGCCAAAGATCCTACTTGGAAGAGATAACGTGTGCCTTCTGAAGTAATTTGAACTCTGTTTAATGTCAACCAACCAACCTAAACCCTACCCCTATGTTCATCCGTATATCCTAACCAGATGCAACGCGTCGCCTTTCCAGGAATATCGTCCCCTCGCATTTGTGTGGTCAACACCCAGTATATCAGCAGTTGTATCTTCTTGTGGCCCACCCAAGATATCCCAATGATCCTGATAGCGGATCGTGATCCTACTAGCGGATCGTGATCCTACTAGCGAATCGTGATCCTATTAGCGAATCGTGATCCTACTAGCGGATCGTGATACTACTAGCGGATCGCAGCTGAGATCGTACTTGCGATCCTGGGTTAGGATCGCGTTCTTCCAGTGAGAGCGAGGGTCTTGTCTTGCCATGTCTCACGACGGATTGCGTAATCAAAACGGGTGTGACCACCCTATAGCCTCGTCCCAGGCTGGACAATCCTGTCCACTTAGGGATTAGGTACCCTATTGCCAGCTACTCGTCCCGGCCTGAATCCGCCAATCACAGCATTCTTGGCTTAACTGAAGCGTGCGACCCGTGCGATCGCCGATCCAAGTCCCAATAGGAATTTCCTTGTGACCGCTTTGCCACAACCGTCCCCTGCACCGTCAGTCATCATACGGTGTTGATATGGCTGTGCAACCTTGTGTGCTTTATTCCTTTTCACGCACTTTCGTATCTTCTATCACGACGTCCGATCCAGCCCATCCGGATCAGATATCTCCTCCTGCTTCAGGATCGGGGCCTCTCGGATCTCCCTCTGCGATCCCAACTTCAGATGTCGGAACCTTGACGCCTACCAGTCCTGCGATCTCAGACGCCTCCACCGTGCCGGTGATTGAGTGTGATCGCTCGGCTGTGGTGACGTCGGCCCAGATGGGGAAAGGCTTTGGTTGGTTTTCCATCGCGAGCCCTCTGTCGCGATCCTCTTCGATCCCCGCTCCAGAAAGGACCTCCGCCGGCCAAAACGTCCCAACTCCGGATCCGAGTGAGCCCATCTTGCTCCGAAGTGTTCAGATCGAAGCCTCGTGTTCGGTCGATCGAGCCACGTTACATGCAGCGATCGTTTCGCTTTACCTACGCCTGAACCTCCAACAGACTGTCGTAGATCGGTACCAGAGTATGGAGGCTGCTTTGGAGCAGCAGATGATCCAGAATCGCCAGCTGAGTGAGGACCTATAGGAGCTCCGCACCTCCGCGTCCCCTTTCGTTCATTTCGTCTAATCGTAGTACGACCGCTTGCGCGTTCGCTAGAAAGTCGAGGTCAAGCAGCCCTAAGCCGTTCGGGAGGCGTTGGCCGACCGGGTCGACCAGATCTTCTCGATCGAGCATTTGAAATCTGAAATTCTCCGGACTGTGCGATCACGTCATACCGCACAAGAGAAAGCTGATCGTGAGATCGCCGGGATACGCAAGCAGATGGAGGAGGCGGGGAGCGGTTAGTGGCTGAATGCGACAAGTTGTACCACAGCCTGGACAAGGCCAACAGCAAGAAGTCGAAGTACAAGAAAACCGGCCTCCAACTCCAAGAAAAGCTGCGTCGTGCACTCAAACAAGTAGCGGGGCTCCAGGCCGACCAGGAAAAGCTGTGTCGCGCGCTCAAGCAGGTATCGGGGCTTCAGGACGAACTGGGCGAGGCGCAGGATTCTCTATCCGCCCGATCCGCTGAGTGTGATCAATTGCGTCGCTTCGTATCGGATCGTGACGTTACGTTGGACCAGACGCGAGTTCAGTTCGCGGACGTGGCTTTCGAACGTGATTGCGCAATACGAGATCACACGACCCTTCGGGATCGCATGGCGTCGCTGGTGTCTGGGGATACTTCAGCCAAACCTACGAAGGTGGGATCGTCTACCCACACGCCCGTTCCCGCGATCCTCAGCCGATGTCGAACGGTTTAGGATCGTGTCGCAAACAATCTCGCGATCCCCTACCATCGTCAGCTTTGCCACCTTTCTAGAAAGTGACTCGATCCGCTGCGTTCAAAGCTAAGCCATCCCTAGTTTGCGATCCCAAGATGGCACGATCCGCTACTGCTAAAGCCAATCCGTCCCCAATTTATGATCCCAAGCCTCCGTCCGCTCCCAAGGGAGCCCGCGATCCTACGGGTCGTCGCGATCTCAAGAATCGTCATGATCCAGCGAAGCCTGCAGCTACCCCGAAACTAGGCAAGAAAAGCGCCGTGGTCCAGGCTTAACCTTGTCTGAGGGGAAGGATACATCGGCAGGTGAGAATGATACTTTAGTGGCTTCATCCGGTTCTCGATCCTCCAGTCGTCGTCGAGCGTCCAATCCGGCGGCACAAACTTCGGCTGGGCCTTCTCCGGATCCGATCGTCATTGACACGCCGAGCCCTTCGCGCGATCCTTTACCTCCGGTTGATCCTGTTATTCCTACCGTGACCAAGTTATCTCGCGCAGACCTTTTCGGAGAAGCGTCCAGCGACTCGGATGGTGCCATCAGCCTTTTCGATTCCCTGAATCCAATGTTATCCCAAGCGGGTTATGATAGCTTGCCCCCTACCAATGTCTCTCGCGACCAGTGGATCCCTGGATATCGAGATCGCGTACCGCGATCGTTCGCTCAGGTTTCTCCCTGGTTGGCACGCAAGGTCAGTTGGACGAGCGTTGCGGAGATGGACACTGACTTTTTGTACCGCCACTTATCTTGTCCTAAAGGCTATATCTTCCCGACGGTAATGGTGGCCAAGTGTCCTCCTCCCACATCTGAGTGGACATGTCGGCTGGCGTGTTCGGCCCAGATCGCGGCCTTATACGTCCAAAAACCTTGGGAGACAGCCACACGATGGATTGCGCCGATCTCCTTCCCTCGTACCGGCTGGTTCGACCAGCTCACCTCTCAATACTTCAGGTTCGAGAATCGAAACCGATAGGCTTTGTGGGAGTCGACGCACGCGATCTTCCTTTCCAGTGAACAACGGGCCAGCGATCCTGAGCTTGACCAGTTCTGAAAACAGCGGAAGGAGCGTCGGTCGCGAGCTGGGCCTTGGTGGAATGCGATCCTTCGATTCATCTTGCAAGGTATTATCGCAGGTCATTGTCACCTGGATATTCTGTTGGATCCCTTTTTCTTTATGCAAGTCCCTTCTTTCAAAGAGGTTCCCCCTTGGTATCCTGGCCTGGGAAGCAAACCGAAGGGCATCCCCGATTTGATCGCTGCTCTCCCGTTGCTGGATGCCGCTAAGTTTTGGCGTTACCAGTATCGATCCTCTATCGCTGACCACCCGGATCATCGATCGTACGATTGCCAGGTAAGTTCTTTCCTGCTTGATCGCTAGGATTCGATTTCGATAGTTCCATAATTAAATACAATGTCTCTTGATCCTTCATCTTGTTCTTCATCTTGAGACCAACGTCTTTATTTCGGCTTTTCAACCGCGATCGGATCCCTTCGATCCGCTATCGCCACTAATTTTACATATAGCCCCGATTCATCATCTCATACAACCTCCTTGTACATATGCCCATCCACTATTTCACGTCCACTTTCTAGCATGCGCCAACCGCTCATCGCTTCGATTACCCGTTAAGCTTCGGTTTCCTCCTCATAAAATTGCATAACTACAAACTGATTTTGACTCGCATGATTGCGCTTGAAATCTTGCAACAACGCGTTACAGTTCAGGTCCGCTTCGTATATTCAGGTCGGATCGTCGTGTTGCTTCCATTGAACCAAAAACTGTCGATGCACTCGGCCATATCGAGTTTTACGTCCTGATCGTACATCCAAAAAAAGTTCCACTTCGTATTCGTCAGCGCCAACTCGTTTTCCCAACTATCTTCCGGCAACAACGACTCATCGTTATCCACACGATCCTCACAGTTAGTCACTAGCACACTACCTAAGCGATCGAAAAACTGTACCACTGGCTTTAACTTGTTGACGTGCACTTTCTGGAACTATCGATATGGAGCTCCTGAAATCTCCACCCGCACAGCATGTTCCCCACATAACTCCGTTACTCGGAACGGTCCATGCCACATATGTGCTTACTTTCGAGCGCAGCCGTCTTTGAATCGGTCCAAGTAGAGCCAAACTTGCGATCCGCACTTAAAATTACACACTTCGTTATTGTCATTGTGTCGATCCGCTTGATCTTGAATCACGATCTTGAGACGTTCGTTTACCACTGCTCTTGTCCTCTGATATAGACATTGGACGTTACATCGCCATCTTCTAGGGTCAGCATCGCGTGATTTAGTGCTTCCCAACGGTAATTTTGCTTCCAAAATCGATCTTGGATTGCAGTAATGGATTAAATAGAACGGAATGTCTCCACGGATCCGATCTTGTGCCGTATTCATAGCGAATGTCAATCTTTCTGCATCTTCATCCCAGTCTTTCTGTTCTTGGTCCGTGACGTACGTCTTAGTCGACCGATTCAACGTCTGTACCATACGGTCCGCAGTTCCGTTCGCTTGCGGTCGGTACGCCATGGTCGCACGTTGCTTTTACCCTGCGATTCGCTTAAATGCTCGAAACAAATCGGACATCAATTCAGGCTCCCTGTCGTGACGTATAACTTCACTGGCCCTAAATCTTCGAAACACACATTCTATATAGCCATCAGCGATCGTTTGCGCGGTCTTCGCCGAACTTGCTCTCGCGATCACATATTCTGAGAAAGATCTACCCACAGCAGCAGTTCTGTGTTTCCTTTAAATGACTGCGGCAATGATGGGATATGATCCATCGCGATCACCTGAAATATGTATGTAGCCTGTATGTTTCCCGGGGATCTGCCGCGGATCGCGGGTAGACCCTTCCCGGTTGTACAGTACATGCGTTCGCCAACACAACGTTGTAAACTCCGATACAATCCTCTCCAATGAAAATTCGATCTGATCCGCTGATAAGTCCTCCCGATCCCCTAGTGACCACCCTCCAAGCTTGTGTGGTAATGGTGCATAAAATCTTGCTACAACAATTCCGATGCAACCAGACAGACCATCTCTGTACGATCGTCCGATTCCTTAGCGGATTGGGGGCTGAAGAACAGCAATCCGTTTTCGTCCACTTCGTAGTCTGGAGCAAATCGAGCGCATAATTTTGCATTCTCTGCGTTTAACTAAGTCAGATCGCCCACAAGATATTCCTTCAGGTTAGCGATCCAGCTCTCTTCCTCTTGCGCTTAATTTATCCGCTCGATCCGCATCCGCTGCACTATGTCTTCTTGCAAAACCTCGGGTTGTTGACGCCTTCGCTTCGCGGATCGTGTGATAGCTATCATTTTCACCACGCAATCCGTCCTTTCCCGCAAAAGCAACTCGTGCAGCCTGTTGAGTGATATCAAATCTTGTAATTCTTGATCTAAGTTCACAATGACACCTTCCTCTTGCTAAAAAGCTGCACTGGCTAGTCGATCCGCGCTTTGGTTCCACTCCCTCTTCATGTGTAATAAATTTTTTTTATTAAGATCGAAGTTTCTGCATTGCTTTATGACGCAATAACTGTAGCCCGGGCGCTTTACAATCCATCTCTCCCCGCTTTTGCCTGATCACTAGTTTCGAGTCACCACATACAATGACTCGTCCCCTAGTTCGGTTGTCCAGCATTTCGAGACCCAATAACATGCAACGATATTCTGTTGCATTCACCGTCAGACCTGCCGCGTATTCCGAAGGGGCTTAGATGATGGTCCATTCTAATAGCTTCCAAACGATTGCATTATATGTCCCGCTCTTCCGTTTAGTCCGTGCCGATCCGTCGAAACTGACCACCAATAGGCATTCATCCGTATCTATCGTGGGAGGTAGCATAGTTACCAATTGTTTAGGTATCATCTGTAAAGCGATCGCAATCAACACATCATCTACCTCATCTCGCGGAGTTTTACTGGCTGCGAGAGCGCCTAGTAATCCATCCTATCCTTTGTTACATCTCTTGACCCCCAGTGTCCAATTCGATAGCATCGCAGCCCATCTTCCCAGTCTCCATTTAAGGACAGAAGATTGCACTAGCCAAGCTAATGTCGAATATCGAGTGAGCACCCTGATCTCTCGGGATACTAGCATGGTGTAGCACACTTCCAAATTTCGAAGTAAGGCTAAAATTTCTTTATCCACCATACCATAATAAATCTAATTAGGCTTCAGTGTGCGAATCGTGAATGTCACCGGCCAATATACGCCGTCATAATTTTGCAATAGAGATGCCGATACTGTCAACTTACTAGCATATGCTGTGGTAAAGCCGATCTCACAAAATTACTTGAGTGAGTGTCGATCTTCCACTTGCCCAGACTTGCCGAATCACGGAGGGGGTAATCCGATCCGTGCCTTGCTGTAAAACCTTGTGCTCACCTTGTGTACCCGTCGGTTGGGCTGGCTTCAGCTCTTCGTAACGGCATTGGGAGATGTCGATCTCGCTGAGAGGTTGGGTTGAGAGTTCGCTTTCGGTGCGGAAATCTTCACACCACGAACAGGTTTTCTGCGATCTTGATCTCGAGTCGCGGCAATTTCTAGTTATAGATGTCGCGATCTCGATCTTGAATCTCACCGATCTCGAATTGTCTTCGGGATCGGGGTATTTGCTGTGCGGAAATCTTCACTCAGCAAATAGTAGTCATGCGTCGATCTTGCCTTGGGATCGGTCCGATCTGGTCTTGGGATCGGCCGATCTTGCTGGAAGTGCGCAATTTGGGCAGATCGGTCCTTGATTTCGCCAAAATGAAACACGCCGATCTGTCCTGTGGATCGCTTCAATCTTGCTCAGTCTTGTCTTGAACGCCTTGTCCAGATCTTCTGACCACTTGAGCCGTCTCGCGATCTTGTGTCCAAAATCCTTTTCCTTTGTTGCTGCTACCCTAGCAGTTGAGTTGAGAGTGAGTACTTGATCGATCCGGGCCAAACTTCTTTCTTGGCCAACAATTGAAGATCGGTCTTCTGTGTCCTTGTAACACGCGTTCCCTGACCCGCCGGGGAAGCCAAATCAATCTTGCCTGGAGAAGAGGGGAGGAGAACGTGAGTCGTGAGCAGAAGAAGTAGAGTTCAAGTTTGTTTATTAACCAACCAAATTAGTATTTAACCCATCTTTAAGCCTATTCCCAACTATAGGTCACTCTCCAAGTCGATATCACCTTTAAGCTTGACCGCCCCCTTGAACACGTGTCGAAATTTCATGACCTGTACTCTATAGATAGCGCCAATATCCCCGACATCGCACCTAAACGCCAAAAGAGGACTAAATCCCAAATGTGGTACCAAAGACCCATTTCTGGTACCCAAAAGCCCGAAATAGTCCCTAAATGCCGAATGCGTTCAAATCCATTTTGCGACGTCAATTTAACCGGCTTCCACTGGCTCGTTCGATCTAAACTTGTAAGACATCACTCATGGACCTTCAACAAGCATGTTTGTCATGATCCAAATGTCTCATCAACGATATTCCCATAATCAGTGGGGAACATGACCGATCTGATGCCCAATTCGAGATCGTTGAGGATCGACACAGTACAATCCGGCCATATATGTTCTTCCGTTCATTGTGTATACTCCGATACCATCCCCAAGGGTTTGCCTGCTCAAAAGAACCATCCACAGTTCTTGAAACGGTCCCACGGACTCCCACAAACATCTCCACTTCCGGATCGGGCCATAATTAACCTAAATTAGTACTTCCTTTGGGACACCCGTAGAGAGTGTCACCGATCTGCAGGATGTTACACCTTCATCACAGAGTCACATCACATCACCTAGTCCCAGATCTTTGTTCCAGATCGCTCCATGGAAATCGTTCTATTTGTCGTCTTGTCCCAGATTGCTCCGTCTCAGATCGTTCCTATCCCATCAGTCTGACGACAGTTGGATCGGATCGCCGATCCCCGTTGAGATCGCCTTCCATGTCCTTATTGGATCGCCAGGTCTTATGGACTCATTTTCCACCAGTAAGTGGCGTCTCAAATATATGGCTACCGATCCTCGTACAATATTTTGATTAGTGACTTCGCCACAATACCACAATCACTGGAAGTCGATTTGGATCGAAATGTTTAAGGATCGGGGTCGTAGCAATCTTAACCTTCAGCAAATGAATACAAGGGCGGCCCTTTCCCACCAAGATCGCTCATTTGGATCATGCTAACCCCCTTGTAATGTGTTATCGCAACTTTCCGACATCGCATCACAATCTCCCATATGGCTCATCTAAAAAAATTCGCCTTTCGTAACTCGTACAACACAGATGCATATACTGCAAAACATTCTATAAAACGACAGTAACAGTTAAAGCTACCCAGGAACGATTGCATGGATCGCAGAGCTGTGGGAAAAGGAATGTTGACCAGCGATCCTAGATCTTTAGGATTGGCCTCCAACCCAGCCAAAAATACCTGACGACCTAATTAATCCACCTTACGCCGTCCCCAAAAACCCTTGGTCAGACTGATCGACAGATTCCATTGATCGCATGCTGTCAATAACATTTCGACCTTGTCGTACAAAGATGTCCATGACGTAGCCAAGATCAATAAATCGTCAATATAAGATCGCCTGCCCAGCACTGACGGCGCTTGATCCGTTTCAGGCTGTCCCTCAGTAAACACATCAGTTAATTTAGGATAATCCTTTGCATTCGCATTCTTATCTGCGCCGATCTTAAGATAACCAAATAGAGCATTGTCTATCAAACGCTGATAAATCTGTGGGGCGTTCTTCAATCCAAAAGGCATTTGCAACCATTCAAACAGACCTGACGGCGTGATGAGCGCAGAGATCGATCTTGCTCGTTCGGTCATCTCTACCTTCCAAAATCCACATGCCATGTCCAGCGAACAATACCACATTGCATTGTCCATGTCCTGCAATAATTCACTGATAAGTGGCATTGAGTACACCATCAGCTGTGTTAGCTGATTAACTCGTCGATAGTCGATACACAGTCGGATATCTTCTCCATTTTTCTGAATAATCACGACTATTGGTGATACCCTCGGCGATGTCGAAGGTCGGTTAATCTTGGCTGACAACAGGCCTTTTATCAGATCGGCCAACGTCTCACGAAAATTTGGCGCATCAGGTCGTACATGCTAAGAGATCGGCCTTGCCTCTCGCACATCAAAATCACAAACTGCCCCGTGTGCTGCAGGGGTAAAGCATTTCCTTTCCCGATCAACAGATGACGACTCTTCTATATCAGTCGTCGCAAATCCTGTTGATCCTCAGTAAAGGGTATTCCAGGATCGCCAACCTGGACATCGTCTTGTTATCTCGGTCGTAAATGTTATTACCTCGGGCAGCACAGCCATGTGTTGTTCCACATCTTCCGCGAACAATTTACTTCCCTCGTGGTAGTGTGTTGATTCATCCGGTGCATCATTTTCCATTACTTCGCCGTCGATCGTAACAGCTTTCACGTCGTCATCCAGTCGTGTAGACTGGCCATGCACCTCCCGATCTTCTATCTTGATCCCGTCTGGGTGACAGTTGGACTGTCCTTGTAGCGGATCAGTTATCTCACGGTTGTCTTTCGGTGTCATAAACACCTCTGCAACCATGTCCTCTTCACCCGAATGTTCTGGCGTCTTCCGCACTGCGTTGACCGCACACGATCTCATTGTCGACCTATCATCCTTGTCTGCGTTACTCTTTCCACTCGTACATTCGTCCTGCAACTCCTCATTGGAGTCACCGTTAGAGTCGGATAGTGAGGCGATCTCTGCAGAATCGTTGATATCGTCTGATTTCCGTTTTGAGCGTGTCAAAGTCCGGGTAGGTCTCTCATACTTTGGATGATCCTCTAACGGGCCCGTGTAGGCTTCAGTTCTTCTTCTTTTCGATTTGTAGTGGCTTCAAAAGCCAATCTCTGCCATTCCATGTACCGCCGCGATCGTACGGACACATATCCTTTAGATCGCGGGATCATGTCTTCTGTCATCCACATCGCTAAAGGTGCTCCGCAGTTAAAGATAAAGTCACGATCGCTTACATTTGTAAACTGCAGGAACTAATCCTTACATGGCCATTCGTCACGGTAGGTTCCCACGCCACATCTCGTCGCACCCAAACCTTAAATTTTGGAGGGTTGACGCCGATACTGACTTCTGTCGGTCTGCCGGCCGCAATGGCTATATCGTTAATGTTGACCGCCGATATTTTCATCAGTACGGTGGTCTTCGTCCAGACAGACAGATTCGAAATTCATCGGGCAGGCAAAGGGTTCCGTCGGCCAAATCCAAACGGATACCTGCAGGAACCATGAAGTCCATGTCTAGTATAGCTTCTTGACCGACTTGATACCCAACATAAACATCAAAATAATACACTAGTGATCCGTTCAGTGTGATCTTGATCTTGTTCCGTCCTACCGTCATGTAAGTACTGTCTCCGATCCCAACACATTCTTGTGTTTGGTTCTCGTCCATCACACACCCTACCTTACGAACAAAGGTAGTGTAGATGATCGAGATCTCCGCACCAGAGTCAAACAGAAAAGTGGCCATCTCATTGTTGAATTTGCCCACTGCTTTCGCTTGTTTAAACCATTCTCCCGGAGCATGATACTTCTAGTATCCCCTCGACTCACCTGGGGTGAGATCGAGCTCCATCTCCACCGGGGATCGGGCATATTAGTCCACTCGCTTCACACTTGATATAAAAGAGGTCCGTATTGAACGATAACATTTATTAGAGATCGGATCGCGCCGATCCTTAAATCCTTGGTCATCTGATTTCTTCTCAACAAATGCATATATGCATAGCCCAGAACGCTCGGCTCGTGCCAGATTCTAACCTGGCGAGCGTCCTAGTTTAGCATTTCCTCGACCTTCGGAGGAAACATACCCGCATGCTTAGTAGGCACATACTACTAGCGGATCAAGTAAAAGAACTCTTCCATGAGGCATTTTCCATTCTCATGTACCTCTCCACATGCTGCACACACGTAGAAGCACTTGTCCGATAAATGCCCTTTGCGACCGCACTTCTGGCACGTTAGTCTCTGCCAGCATCTGCGATCATCATGTCGCATCGATCCGCAGTGGGTGCATGCCTTCGATTTCCCACCTCGGTCACGTCTAGATTCTTCACCAGTATTCTTCTGCCAGGTTCGATGACATTTTTCCGGTCTCTCTTGACCAGATGTAGTGGTCACACAAACTGGGCGGCGATTCTTGTCTTCATCCGATCCAATCGAGTCCGATTCTGATCCACTACTTTCGATCCTCTCACAAATTGCCCTCACCACCCGACCAGTCTTGGATGGCGTAGGATTTGGAAGGCCATTCGCTCGCTGGTAGAACTTGTTCGATTTTGTCGACGTCTTCAACTGACGACTCTCCATCCTTTGGCATGCACGTAACTTCTCATCCAACCCCTTGGTGTCGGCCAATCGTAGTAGGGTCAGCTGCTTGGCCAAATCGCGATCATTCAACGTGGCAATGAAATGTTTCAAATTTTCGAGAGGTGTGTCCAATGTGGCCATCCTCTCGTCTCTGATCGCGATCTTGGCATGCTCAGCCGCGACATTTAGGCGGTGTAGATACTCTTGTGGATTTTCATCCGATCGTTTTCGTGCGAGATAGTATTGTCTGACCAGAGACTAACCTTGCCCTCCATACTGTACCATAAACTCATCCAGCAATCTCTTCTAATTCTTTTGAGTGGATCGACCTATTTGCATATATCAGTTTCGAGCGGGTCCTGTCAGCAGATCTCCGAACACCGAACACTTCTCCTCATCGGGTGCTTGATCGCGCAAGAAAGCCGATTTGACCTTGCTGATTCAACTTCTGGCCCGATCTTCATCTCTATCCTTGCCACTGAATTCTTTCAGCTATGTCATCGCCGATACTCGAATGCGTTGAGGTATTCTACCACCATATTGCAACGTCTCGGTCGTAGCTACCATAGCGTGCCTACGATCTTCTTGTCCCGAATCATCGGGATCGATGTCGTCAGGGTCGAAAAAAAAATCTCCGGTTGACTGATGCGCGACTGCACCTATTTCATCTCCACAATGGGGGTAAATCTTTCACGGGGTCTAGCAGGCTTGATTCTTTGGTTAGGGTAGATCGCTCGATACGCTCGTATCCGTTGATCTTGGCGAAAACGTTTCATGGCCTCATCGAGGTATGTCTGCAGGAGTCCTTGCGTAGGAGTCGTCATCTTCTCTTTAGAGCCTGTGGCCTTCGATCGCGAGTTCAGCTTCACCGACTCGTCTCGATCGCGTAGATGTGTTGCATCACTCGGGCCTAGAGACATTCGCTGGATGCCGACAAAATCGTCCGACTCCATCTCTGATTCCGCCGAGGCATATTGTGACGATCCGGTATGATACCCCCTCGGGACATCGGCGATCGTGGCAACCGCTTGATCCGCGGATTCGCACTTCCCCGTCAGAGGAATTAGCTTGTCATACAGCCATTGACACGCATGGATCGCCTGATCCTGATCGCATTCCAGCAGTTCGTTCGCATCGAACGCATCAGCGACGTATCCAGCATCTTGTAGCAGCTGGATGATCGCAACTATCCCTTCTACTGCGTTAGTCGCCACCTCCGGTCGGGATATCGGGCCTTGTATCTCTCCGATTAGCTTAGGATTCAGTATCCTCAGCACGGGGTCGCTCGATAGCAAATTCTTGAGCGCCTTCCGATGGAATTTCTGCGCCAGTTGATCCAACTGCCAGCCTTCCATCTTCATGTCCAGAGTATCGTCCACAAACTTGATCGGTTTCACGATCGCATTCACGCCTCGATTGTGTCGATCCGATCCGGGCTCTTCTTTCTTCACTCGATCTGTCTTTAAAATCGTCTTCTTTTCCATTGCCCGAGTGGTCTTGTGTAGTTTTTGTTCAGTTTTCGCTGAATTGTTTTCACCCAGCGGATCGTGTTTTGCAGCACGATCCGCGGTGGTCCCTAATGGGACATAAGAGGGGGTCGAGATTTATCTTCGGTGGTCCCTAATAAGACCATAAGAGGGGGTCGAGATTTATCCTCATAAGATCGACTGATCGATCTTGCTCTTTGATTTTCTTGTCATCAGAGCTCCTCTTAAAACTCTGATAATCCAAAGATCCTATAAAATCACGCACTGGAGGCGATCCCTTTGCCTTTAAAGCTTCCATCCCAGGTTCAGTCTCGACTTTCACTTCTTCACTTAGGACTCACGGTGAAATCTGGAGTCACCAGAAGATTCGGTCACGCGCACCATTGTGGTGGAGTGGCGATCGCTCAATTTATGAGTTGATCTCAACTCTCCACTGGCGCCCGGACGACCGACTAACGGAGGGGGTACTCCGATTCCGTATGTGTTGCCTTCCTAACCTTGTGTAACCGTCGGTAGGGCGGATTGCACTCTTCCAGGTGGACTCGTGTCGAAGGATAGCTTGACCGTGTTGGGGATGGGTTTGTGATCGTGCGGAAATCTTCAGGCTATCACGGGGTACTTGGAGGTACTGATATAAGCTACCCTGATCTCAACGAGATCGCCTTGTCCACTATGTGGTTGCTTGATCCGCGAGCCTTCTGACCACTTGAGCCGTCTCGCGATCTTGCGTCTTGCCTTGATGAGTCTTGCTGCGTCCGATTACAGTTGATGTTGCTTGAGAGTTCTTGAACACACCTGGCCTAAACGATCCAGGTGTGACACTTGCGTAGACGTGTAGCGCGACTCTTTATTCAAAGGGGGGCCAAAGATCCTACTTGGAAGAGATAACGTGTGCCTTCTGAAGTAATTTGAACTCTGTTTAATGTCAACCAACCAACCTAAACCCTACCCCTATGTTCATCCGTATATCCTAACCAGATGCCACGCGTCGCCTTTCCAGGAATATCGTCCCCTCGCATTTGTGTGGTCAACACCCAGTATATCAGCAGTTGTATCTTCTTGTGGCCCACCCAAGATATCCCCATGATCCTGATAGCGGATCGTGATCCTACTAGCGGATCGTGATCCTACTAGCGAATCGTGATCCTACTAGCGAATCGTGATCCTACTAGCGGATCGTGATACTACTAGCGGATCGCAGCTGAGATCGTACTTGCGATCCTGGGTTAGGATCGCGTTCTTCCAGTGAGAGCGAGGGTCTTGTCTTGCCATGTCTCACGACGGATTGCGTAATCAAAACGGGTGTGACCACCCTATAGCCTCGTCCCAGGCTGGACGATCCTGTCCACTTAGGGATTAGGTACCCTATTGCCAGCTACCCGTCCCGGCCTGAATCCGCCAATCACAGCATTCTTGGCTTAACTGAAGCGTGCGACCCGTGCGATCGCCGATCCAAGTCCCAATTGAAATTTTTTTGTGACCGCTTTGCCACACATTAGCTTGTCGTTTTTGTTGATCTTGGCAATCAGTCATTGCGTCACGCACATGTCGTAAGACATTCAATCGCGTTGCGAGAAACTCGCCTACCTGTTTTTGAACAGTAGCAGGGATGATATCAGCAAGCCGATCAGCAGCTTATCCCCCACCAAGGCCTGAACCACAGAGTTGTAGCGTTAACCGAACGCGAGGGAGGGTGAGACCGTTTACATAAAACGGAGTAAAGCCTGTGGAGGGCATGAACAGCATTGTTCAATGCAAGTATACCAACAGGGAGAATTAAGCTCCAATGCCTTGGCGTATCAGCGCAAACACCGCGCAAAATAATATTAGTGACGCGATTTACACGCTCAGTTGGACTATCGGTCTGCGGGTGATCCGCCATGGACATGTGCAATCGGGTGCCGAGCACCTTGAATGTAGACTTCCAGAAATTCCCGGTGAATCGGGGATCTCTATCAGAGACAATTGCCACAGGCAAACCATGTTGTCGAAACACACGATCGATAAACAGCTTTGTTGTGCCTTCAGCATCGATCGTGTCCAGCACAGCCGCTAAATGATCCATCTTGCTCAAACGGTAAAAAAAGACCACAACACCAGTGTTGCCTTCCGAATCTTTCGGTAGGCCGAACACAAAATCCATACTCATCGATTACCAACACTCAGTGGGTACAGGCAGACTAGTCAGCGGCGCAACCACATGTGCAGAGGTTTGACCCGTTGTCACGTTTCGCACGTACCCACAAAGGTGCTCCCCCATTTGTACATCTTGGGCCACCAGTAAGCCTGGCTCACTGAACCGTAGGTCTCCTCACGACCAAGATGACCACTTAAAGCGGTATCATGTGCCTCATAGAGGATTTGATGCATCAACTCCTCATCATGAGAGACAGCATTTAGTCTAACGGTGCTTCTAGGCACCATAGTTTTACTCATCAACAAATAGATCTACTGCTCTTCTTTTCACCCTAAATCAGGACTCTCACTTTGTGTTGACATCGTCCTCTGTACCTACGTGCACGTGCACGTGAGATCTCGAGGCACCCACTTTCGCTGTGTTAAATTTAAGTAGCTTGTACACTGATAGCACGAGCGCCCGGTGTCCAATTACACATTCGGTTTTACCTAAACTATGGAATACGAAAATGATAGATAGTATTACTTAAAAGTATACTATATATGATAGAAAAGGAGTTGAATGCAATTCACATCTCACTTCATACAAATTATTGAATGTCTTAAAATATCTTGATGCATGTCGATTACAAACCGAGACCGAACTCGTCCGTGTTTCTAAATGTGTTTGTCCTTGGTTTGTAATCATTGCTTTAGATGTATACAAACTCGACAACTAGCAATTATCTACGGAACAATCTATAGACATACAAGCCCGAAGGGCAGGAAGCAGGTGTGCGTCCGAGAAGTCAGGCGGCAATGAGGAGATGCAGACGAGGACAGTATCTTTTATCCGTGGCCTGCGATGTATTGACAAGAATGTCGTTGTGGATACAGTAGCGACCAATCCCTTTTTTGTAGTCAAAAATTTTGGTAACATGATGTCGTTGTCCTTGAGAAAGAGCTTTGGTCGTCTCGGATGGACATGAAACTATTTTTTATTATAATTCATTATAGTATAGTGAAATAGCATTTTCCACGCTCTTTGGATCCCTTGAAATATTGCGTTACGGCCCTATGTCTTCTACTAGTTCACTATTGTACACGTATTCATCAAATTCACTTAATATTCAAGATAACCAAGAGTGATGAAAACGAGGTGATTTTTGTTTGACTATTTGAGCAGTTGATATCAAAGTTCTTATTGATAATGTGTTGGAAAAGACGGTAAACAGAGGGTGATTTCGAGACAAAATCGAGGGAATATTAAGAAGAAGCAAAATGCGCGGCATAAACGACTGCCAGGTCTTAAAATTTGTGTTCTGGCATAGTTTCAGATAGTGAAAGAGCGAATATATGTCGAGAGAAAAGGTCAGATTGGGCAATAAATGCACAGGAGAGCAAATACAAGAGCTTTGGTAGCGTGGATAGTGCCAAGACAAACTTAGAATCTGTTCACCGTCATCTACGCAGTACTACCATTTCTTGCAGAACGTAAGGAATGGCTGTAACATAAAATGATATAACTTTATGAAAAAAAATTTGATGCTTAAAAAGCAATTAGTAACCTTTGATGTAGTCGTAACAAGGTAGTCGTATGGGAACCCGTGTCTGAAAGAGATCCCAATACAATAGTAAATTCATTTTTAATATTAGGAAAATCGTCTAGTTCATAAAATTATTGCTATCAAAATTTTTGTTATGGGTGCAGATTCCATTTTCCGGTTTTTAGTTTACTAAAATTTTATCAATTTATTTTATCAAATCCAAAATAAATTAATTGTAGATTTTAAATTAGAAAAAACCTAATTGTTTTTTCATTTTTGTTTAGCTAAACAAATAAAAAAAATTGTAATTTGTTATTTTCAAATACAAACATCACACATTGAATTTGAATGAATTTTTTATTCAATTAATGTGTAAAATATCAAGTCGACCGATGAAGTGGACGACTCAAAAAATATGAAGATGTGAAAAGACAAAATTTTGAAGTACTTGAATCTTCAGAATGTCAAAAGGGAGTTGATGCTTTCACACCTCCTATCCTTCATCTCACATCCTTCCTTTTGAGGTCAATTTTGACACCCTAATATCCAATTTAGACTAATCTTTAGGCTTACCCCTTACATCAAGATTCTTTACGAATACGCAAATAGTAGATGTGAACAATGTCAAATACCCATAATAACGCCCTCCTTCTACCTCTATTTACTTTATGCGCCTATAACTAATACACTATTCATTCTGGTTCCGATTTTGCAGACACACGCTGCTGCTTTGTTGACAGGTCATTTGTACAATCAAGTGATAGTCTGGTAAAGATGAGAGACTGACAGTACGTTAATCGCACGGTTGCATCTCACAAGCTGCCTGCATGTAAAATAGTGCTTTCGCCTACCAAAAGAGCGCGCAACCATCGAAAATACGCAATGAGCTTGTGTGATTATATGCGAACACCTGCACCTTTCTTTAATCGTGTAATAAGTTGTCAAAATAGATCCCGATCGTTCGTTTGTTCCGCGGCCCTACTGCGGGAGCTGTCCGATCTGAGTACAATGACGTACTAAGGTGTAATGAGTGCGGCAATGACTTTGCAGCTACTTTGCGCATCTAAATCCAAAAATTGAGCTATTTGCTCAAAGTGTACTCCAGACCGCCTGTGGGGGTTGCGAAGGAGGACTAGACGGACATCGCAGGAGGTCGAGAGAGGTATGCATAACAGTTCTGGTGAAGGGATTATTCTATTATTCTGGCATCTATGCTCAAACGTAGAATTATTGTAGATGGTGTGTACTCTATCAATTAGTAGACTGCATGGCGATGAACTTGATAATGACGTCGTTTTACCAACTACTGATCGCCCCTTCTAATATTACACGAATAGGCCAAGATACACTCGTGAATAGTTCCTTTTACTGTATCACAGCTTTGATTCCAAGATTCGTCTCGCATGGCCCTTGAAGGTGCACTCCTGTCAAGCGAATATATTATTGGAGAAGGGTGTGAAATGTAGGTACGCAATATGATTCAATACTCTCTCGATTGTTTTACGTAGAGAAAGAATGCGAGAAAAGGGCTAAAATAACTGGTTTGGCAAAAGAAGGCGAAAATCAGGATTGGCAGGAAGGATGCGAAAATCAGGATCGACAAAGGGTGTGAACTTAAGGAAAAGGCGTGTGAATTTAAGGAAAAGGCGTGTGAATATACCGCTCCCTTTGAATATGATTTGGAGGAAAGATGATGTTGTATTGAGTTCAGTGTCGCTGTACGCTTTCTGGCTCGTGCGTAATACGCTTGTGAAATTACACCGCTCTTCGCCCTTAAAAAGATGGAGCGTACTGGCGTTTCTATTACGATATATTTGACATCAACTCCCGAAGACAGCCGATGCAGCATCGACGCGAGCTCCGGATGAAGAGATTGCACTGTTTGCCGTGATATTTACATATGTCTCCACAACGGCGGTGCCCGTCTGGCCGACATGTTGCCGCGGACCACAGCTATGCTTTAATTACAACGGGATGGTCGATCGGAATGGTCTCGTACTCCAAGACATACAGGCTACTCTCGCTTTCATTGTCGAACGATGAGGACTGGGGCTTGAAGAGCTCTCCTAGCTTCATCCACGACACACCCGTGCGCTTTCGAAATATTTCCTTGTGCAACATGTATAAAGAAATGCATGTGGCATCTGCCAAAAGTTTGGTTCTGCGCCAAGCGCCCTGTCCAACTGCTTCGGATCAGGTAAAACCTGTCGATTCAAGGGCTGAAGGCTTATTAGTCATCTTGAACCTCGGGCGGTGCTTGCTGAGGGCATGTACAAGCAGCTGATCAGAACAACAACAAAAAGACAACTGGATGCGAAGCAGTCAGAATGCTGGTCGAGGAGAGCTGGTAGAATTCAAGCCAGATGATTACAACCCATTGATCTCTTCTATGTTTGCCTAAGAGGTTCGAGCGCACATGAGATAACACGCTGCTTTCTCTCGATCATGTGAGTCGTAAAAAGACGTCTCACCCTGTCCCTGGATCTAAACGACGCACGTGGTCACACTCTTCAATCAGCGTTATTTGGAGGAGGAGTATAAACAGGACCAGTACTGGCATCAGCTAGATACTCGAACGACGGCCATCAAGCCACCTCCGCGCCTCCCCCCCGATGGGGAGGAGGGGAACAGCACCCAATTCGACGCGCTACCCGATAGGCAGAGCCACACAGGAATGGCTCGCGGGATGGTAGCGGTTCAGGGCGGGCAGGACGATTCCCCTGCCTCTCCTGGCGTCACAAGACCACTCGTTACCCAGACGGCAGGTGGAGATATCGTAGTTGACACCATCATGGCAGACGACCAGCAGGCGGTTCCCGTATCGAGCCACGGGCCAGACCCGGTCGTAGCCTCGGTCGATCACGGTTTAAACTCGTCAACGCCTGGCGGCGGCGACGGAGCGTCGACGCGTCAGACAGCGGTATCACAACCATGATTACCTGAGGGGGTAAAGACGACTTCATCCACGCCGGCCGTGGAGCACGTACCTCCTAAGGAGCTTTTTGAGGCTCTAATTGAGTCGATGAAAGCCTCACCAGGCCCAACCAACGTTGATGTCTGGCGTCTGTCCATCCAGGACCTATTTACAGCGGAATATGCTCGGATACCGGTAAGCGTCGACGCGTTACCGGCCGGACGCACAAGGTTTCCCAAGCTTAAGGGACCTGAGGCGGATAGCTTGCTAGATCTTTTTCGACGCTGTTATGTGTCAGCTTCTGGAAGTTTCGCCGACTGGAAACGACTGGCTCATCAGATCAGCAAAGAACTCCTCCTGACGAAGTGGGCATTCAAGGAGATCATAAGAAAATTAGTCAGTCAGCAAAAGTGGGCCACTGCTCCTGTCCCCAATCAATGGGCAGAAGTCGTGCTGGCGGGTAATACGGCTCGCCAAATGGGCGGGGAGAACAAAGGGAGCATAACCTATGAAGATTCTATGTTTGACCCGGCGAAATTCTCGTCGGAAGACTCGATTACACTAAAGGCCATATGTGTGGCCCGGCTAGGTAACACGGGCTTCCAACGGCTACGTGAGGGGTCTGATGACGAATGGCGCATTATTGTGGGTATTGCCGAAGGGCATATAGTCTGTCGCCGGATGCCAGACTTTCTACGATCGGTTCTGGACAGCAAGGAACGTCTTCGGCTGAACAGTACCGTTCAGGCACAAGTGGAGGGTCAATTAGTTCTCCATATCAGCGGTGGGCGTGACATTCCTCTAAGTCGTCAGACACGGAGAAGATTCTGGAATTAGCCGAGCTGTTGAGAGTCAGTTTGCCCGATCTCCATCGCCTGCTGGGATCAACGAAAACGATCAGTTACAATCGATCAACCTGGTCGATTCACTTTTTCTTTTTTTCGCGGGACAAGGCAAAGAAGCTCCAGGACGTTCAAGTGCCTTTTCAAGGTCGATTTTATACGCTGGAGAACGCCCATCAGCCGGTAAGGGGATCGGTATGGCTGAACCAGCGGGGTCCAGATGGTCGGTCGGGGTACCCAAGATCCGCTTATACGATTATCCTCTATAATCTTACCAGATTCGACGACATTGGACGCATAGAAGCTTACTTGCGCTCGAAGATTCAAACAGAATTTGAGCTGGAGGACATAAACACATGCACACCAAATTCAAGAACATCAACAGCGTGGAAGGTAACCTTTCATCTAGCGGGCTGCCCGAAATTCCTTCAGGGTATAGTACGATTACTTTGGTTTGGAACACCAATTATCATCAGGCATCCATATGTGGGCCGTCGCCTCCAATGTCTGCAGTGTGGAACTTTGGGACACCCGGCGGGCAGATGTCAATTCACAGATGCGCAATTACGCGGGCCGGGTGGCGTAGAAGTTATCGAAGCAGATCTTCAAGCTGTTGAAGACCTCGCCAAGCCTTTTAGCAATCCAGACGAAATGAGGCAGATGGCAATGAGACGTCTACAGTCCAACAATCGGAGGATGCGGCAGCGCAGGCTGCAGTGACGCTGACAGTTGCCCCCAGTCCGTCGCCAGTGGCAGAACCCCCTAGAACTGGCATACTTCTCCAACCGGTATATACTCCACCAGGCACGCACGAGGGGCCACCACCACCGGCCCCAAAATGCCGACCAGCGCAACCATGGCTGGCCCGGCCTGTACGGGGAGGGAGGAGGATATGGTCACCCCTGCAGGCCTCGAAAGGCGATCTCAAGGTTAGCAGCGGTAGTTATCACGTGCTCCAAGAGGACGAGCTGGATGAGACCGAAACGTCCTCGAATTCTGTTAATAGCGATACCCATGATCTGCCAAGGCAAGCATCAAGTAAGATGACGGATCGGGATGCGTCTTCCAAGAAGGGACCACCCACGTTGACACCTGAGGATCTAGCACGACAAACAGCAGCCGCCAGGAGAGGACAGGTGTCTGTGGTTGCGGGCCCAACGCTTTTGGCCAATAAATGCCGGGAGCGTTCAACATGTGAGCGGCTAATTAAACAGTTGTCACCAGGGACAAGTCACGCGATCCCCATGGAACCAATGCCTCATGCTGAACCCATGCATGTGACAGAATTGGTACAGATTTTGGGGCTCCGTGAAGTCACCACACCGGCCACGGGCAATTGTTTGGCGATAGCCATAGCTCAAGCTCTCGCAGAATCTGCTTTGGACAACTCTACCAAGGACCTTGAGATTTTAACGGCTAGTATTAAACGGGGAATCTCCAACGCCGGACTGCTAAATTTGGAGGATCAAATGGCTCATGACGTACGGGTTCATGCTTTAAAGAACGTTGGCAGAGGTTGGACGACGATGACCAGGGGGGAGTCTGCGTCCCAACTACGGTGGTTTTTGCATGACTATGAAGCCTCCCCTTCCAACAGAGAAGCCCTGGTTGAGGAGCATAGCTGAGGTGAAAGTGACACTCTTGGAATGGCAGCCAATTTTTTGCATCGCACTATCTATGTGTTGAACTGTGGCCGCGGAACGGGTAACTGGAGTGGTCGCAAGTATTGTTTTGCTACGATCAACAGACACGGTCGAGTAGTGGAAACTGCCAAAGAATTTCCACTCACTCTCTTGGCGTGTATAGACGAGCTGCAAGCGGCAAAAATAGAGGCGCCTCGCGCTCCACCACTGGTGCTTAGATTCTCGGGTCGGCATTATTCGGCTTTTCTGCACACTGCCAGGGCGGCAGATCGGCTCAGCCTAACTGACGTCTCGGACGGAACAGGCTCAGCGCTGCAGCAAGGTCAGGACTCGCAAATTGTGGATACTTTAGCTGTGCAGCTAGAAGAGAAGCGCTCCCATATTTTATCCCCTATCAGGGATCATCTGTCGGTTGTGTATGACAACAATTCGATAATCATCCACTCTTCAAGGAACTGTGGTCTTGCCAAAGCGTCATCGCAGCAATTGGCTATTGTTCCATCGCAGATCAGGGGGGCCAATCAGGGCAGTTCGCTATCGGCTCGAAAACGTGGGCACGTCAGCACGTCGGAGACCATCGAGGTCAGCGAAGGGTAGAACTGGAGTGGACTTGAGAGCTCCAAACAGAAAAAGGCAGGATCAGCGTTGCTTCTCCTCAACCCTATATCACTCGGATGGAGGAACGAATGGATACCGACGACTGGCCGGATCTCTGGCAGGCTCTGGGCGTTGAATGGCCAGTAACGGCTTCTACGCCATATCCACTAGTGTATGGTAACCCTGAGGCGTGGCTGAAAACTGCCCAGGTCGAGCCAGAGCTGCTGCTCCATCACGTGCGACGCTTTGTTTTCCCGGGTGAACTGCTGGCTAGCCTAGGGGATCACGTTCTCGGGATGTGGACGGCTCAGTGGCGACAGGCGTGCTTGCTGTCTGGTCTACTTGAGTACAGGCGTCGAGTGCAAGATTCTATACAATCACTGTGGCTAGATCAATGGATCGTGCGAACACAGCAGCGATTGCCTTCCTCCCGGCTGGCCCCATTAATCGACAATACCGACGATTGGGTCAAGCTGAGGGAGGTAGACTACGCTACCGATGATAGGTTGCGTCTTTGTGACCCTCACCGACGTATACGCCTGAGTTATCACCTACTATGTGCGGTATTGTTCGACGCTGAGATTTTTGCGCTGACCGGGGATGGGGAAAAACCACTTGAGCCTCCCGAGCAACTTCGAGGGCACCTACGCTTACTTCGGAACAACAGTCACTACAAGGAGGTGTATTACGCTGACGGGGGATCCAAGGTGGATTGGCGCAAGCTGGTTTGCTTCTTTAATACTGCGTTGGCTCCTGCAGAGCAGCAGTTTCTACTTGAGTACTAAGGGCAGCTTACGGAGCAACGAGGCCTTCAGGCCCGGTGGTGCAACACTCGACGCATCGGACGCCTATGGCCGCCATCTCTTGCTTAAGGAATGGACCGATTCTTTTGAGCCAGTTACATCTCGGCTCCAAGGCTGGATGGGTGACATGCTTTACATATCTCAAAATGTACGAGGATATAAGGACAGCGTGCGCGACAGTTGGATGTCGGGTTGGCGGGCTAAGACAAATCGACACAGAACAGGGGCTTGGTGCATCCAGGACACACATGTGCACACAGAAGCAGAGGCAACTCGGCTGCGATATCAGTGGGCTCGACTATGGGGTCAGCATCTTAACCCGACTTCCCCTGTCCTATCGTACTGGAGTATTGGCTCGTCAAAACGGGCAGGAGTTGCTATTCTACTCACTCCACAAATTGCAACACATACGACGGCCTGGTTACCGGATTTCTGGACCACACGCGTGATCGCTGTATCTATGGGGGGGAAGTCCATGTGAATGTGTACGCTCCTACTTTGCGGTCCGAGCGAGAGGCTTTTTTTACCTCCATGCTGACCTTAAATCTAGACCCCTCAAATACGATGATCGTCGGCGACTTTAATTGCGTCCAGAGTCCCCTTCTGGATCATTTTGGGAAGCATCGCTCCAACCGGTCAGAAAGCCCGGCCCTGGACCACGTTGTGTCTACGATAGGATTGGCTGATGCAAGATGGCTTCGCGAACACGCAGACGACGACTCAATGGATACTTTTGTGGACCATTTCACACACTGGGAAGGGGATAGGGCTAGTCGTATTGACAGATTTTATGTACCGGAAGGCTGGGTGGACCGCGTCCTGTGGGTTGAGACGCGCTTACCTTCAAATTTGTCGGACCATCAGGAGGTAGTTCTACACCTGCGAAAACCAACCAGGCGTCGCCCTCATATTCGACGTGATAGGGTGGTGTATCCCATCACAGCATCGAACCCCGATAACATTATAGCAGAACTTGTCAAGGAAATGGATGGCATGGCTGTTGGTCAAGCTTTATCTACCAGGACTTGGGATCTAGACGTTGCTGAGTGTGTACGCTGTATTCGGCGTGTCAGTAAGAGGGTGAAGCAGCGCAGGGCTCGATTTCGCCATAACATTCAGAGACGGGCACAGCAGCACTTGCTTACCAGGCCACAATGGATATCCTGTAAGATGGAAGAATTGCGTCAGGAACATATTGTGCGACTAGGTCAACAGCTGGTCAGGACAACAGATCGGTTACGGTTTTTTTATCGCAAAATAGCCGACTGGGAGCGCGAGCAAACCGTCACCGGTATTAAGCAGCTTCATGGACTGGTTTTTAGTCGCACCATGTCGACGGCAGATAAATTTGCCTCAGAGTGGTCCACTGTTTTAGGCGTGGTACATCGCAGTACCCCTTTGGAAGCCTTACCAGCCACCATTCGTCTTTTGTTCAAGTTCCCACCCAACGGGTACTTTCTTCGAGCGAGAGTCGGTCTTTAACGGCCGATTTCACTGAAGATGAGGTTATTACAGCCATCACGGGCCTATGTCGACATAAATCGGCTGGATATGATGGTTTAAACAACGACTTTTACAAGGATACGCCGGCGCTTTTGGTTACAGCCCTGGTGCGAATCAGTAATCAAATATTGGCGGACTCAGATCCTCCACCTTCTTTTCTGGAAGCGCTGATCATACCTTTGCGGAAGAAAGGTGACTCAGCGGATGCTATGGATTACAGGCCTATTTCGCTACTTCAGACCAGTTACAAAATCTTCGCGAAGGTGCTGGCGACTAGGTTACAAGTTGTATTACCTAAAGTCATTGGTGACTCACAACAAGGTTTCGTCCATGGCAGGCAGATGTTGAAGTCTGTCCTGATGATGCTCTCCCAACTGGCAACGGCTTCTTCTGATTCAACTCTCGACGTGATTAATAGCAGGGTCATCCTTCTACTTGATTTTCGAAAG